AATTGCATGGGTTCAAATGTCTAATAGATAACTCTGATTTGCCATGTCCAAAACTGAACTCTTGGTTTTCCTTTCCAAACCTGGTTCTCCCCTACTTTTCTCCAACTCAGTTATTAGTAACTCTACTCACCCAGTTGCATAGGTGAAAAACTCCAGACTACTCCTTGTCTCTGCTATCTCTCATTGTCAGTACCCAATTATAAGCAAATCACCTTCAAAATATTACAAATCTAATTCTCACCACTTCCATTTCTACCACCCTAGTTCATACCATCCATCATTCTCTCTTACCTGGATTATGCAACAACCTGTTAAATATTCTCCTTGTTCCCACTTTTGAACTCCCTAGATTCTATTTTCCACATATTTCAGATCGTGTTCTTGTCTATTTGACAACTTCCAATGACTTCTATAGGGTGTTTTCTCTACCATCTTAGGTTCAGTGGCTCAGATCTGTGAATTAGACTTTAATTTTGGACATTAACAGGAAAAAGAAAAACCAACCCAGAATTTTCATCACCAGTGATAAAGGTTGTTTTCCTCTTCCTGGTATAGGAGAAGGAAGAGGAAACACCTTCACAAAAGGAGACTTATGTCCTGCTTTTAGGCAAATAGGAAGAGGACAAAGAGCTCTTTCTGTGTTTGCTGTTTGCTAATTACCTTCAGCTCAAAATAATCATTATGCTAATGTGTCATACTGTGGCATATTCTGATCCCCTTCACTAATTTACCTTACAATAAAATTCCAACCCTCTTCTACTGTTCACAAGGCACACAATCTGGCCCTTTGCACTCTCTCAGAAAGACAAAAAGGAAAGCTATTTCCCCTCTCTCAGGTTAGAAAGGGAGGGAAGTGAGGATGTGGTGGGGGAGGGGTGGTTTGTGAGATGGGGAGCTGAGTGGTTTCTAAGAGAGGCCCTGTACCCCGCCCCTCAGATGGAGGCTCAGAGAGGACAGCAAGGCCTCAGAGAGAGAGAGAGAGAGAGAGAGAGAGAGAGAGACAGAGAGACAGAGAGACAGAGAGACAGAGACAGAGAGAGGAGCTGCTTGCAGATTAGGCTGATGAAGACTGTGACGGGTCATCAAGGGAGTCAAGAGAGAGCCTAGAAAAACCTCACTGACCAGACATCCTATGTTGACCAATGACCAGGGACCAGACAGCTTGGTATCTGCTGATATGAGTAAGTCAAGGACCACATTTATTCTACCCTCCCTGCTGACGAAGGCAATAAGCCTGGTTAAAAGGAAGGACTGGGATTGATTAAGGCAGAATGGGAGACAAAATCAGAAATTTCCAATTTGGTCAAATTATTTACAAATTAAAATATATTTCTTAAACAACTCGGTTTGTGGAATAAAATTTATATAGTCCCTGGCACATAGTAGAAGATCAATTTATTATAACTACTATTCCTACTATAAATATTTTATGTGGCTGCTGAAAAAGTTAATATTAACTTTTATTTATAGAAGAGTAAGATACAGTTCAGGAATGGTAGGGATCCCATCATTATCAGGGCTGAGGTTTGAAATCCACTTTGAGTACATCGTAAAGAGGGCTGATGTTGACTCACATGTGGATAGGGAAGGAGTCAGACACTGAATAGTTAAAATAACTAGGGCTGTGAAAACTGCATAAGGAAAGACTGAAGAGAGAAATGATAGCTGTCCTCAGATATTTGAAAGGCTTATTGTGGAATATAGAATGTCCTTGTTCTGAATGGAAGTTGAAGGCATGAATGTTTGATTCAATCAACAGAAAGAGGAAGTTTCTCATAGTTGAGTGTTTGTCAATGTTAAGGGATTGAAACAGATGTTCAATATTCATCTCGTCTGGAATGTTGTGAGAAGATTCCTATATGTTGAGGAATGTGGTCCTGGCACTTTTTAGTTTTAGGATAATATGATATGTGGGGCAGGTGAAGACAACTGATATTACTAAATTCCAGGATATATGCTGAGTGCTCTTTGTGTCATGGGCCCGTTGAATCTGCCTAACAGCTCTATGAATTAAACATTATAATTATTATTATTATTTCATAAATCAGGCTCACATAGTAAACTGCCAGAGTTTGCAGTGCTGCTAAATTGCAGGGTCAAGTCTAGAACCCAGGTCTACTGCATTAAAAGACCATGTACTTTCCATTGTACACTCCATTTCCCTAACTTGCTCTTTCAAAGAAAAAGAACAAATCCTTAATTTTAGGGCAGAACTTTCAAAATACACACATTTTATTAACATATAGAAATATCAATGCATAAATTATGAACATTTTCACGTATAATAGCATATGTACATAACTACTTTTCTGTGCTCTAGATGTGTGACCATCTATTTTGGTTAATGTGATGGTTAATTTTATGTGTCAGTGTGTCTTGGCCATGGTGCCCAGATATTTGGTCAAACATTATTCTGGTTGTTTCTGCAAAGGTGTTTTGTGGATGAGATTCACATTTTAAACAATGGACTTTGCATTATGTCCTCCAGGGTCATCCATGTTGTCACAAATAACAGTTTCCTTCTTCTTCAAGGGTGAACAGTATTTCATTGTGCATATATACTGTATTTTCTTTATCTATTCAGGTGTTGATGGACAGAAAGACAAATACTGCATGATCTCACTTATATGTGCAATCTGAAAAGGTGAGCTCAAAGAAGTAGATAGTAGAGTGTAGTTACCAGAGGTGGTGGAGGAGAAAGGCAGGAATAGGGAGACGTGAGTTAAAGGATCCAAAGTTTTGGTTAGCAGCAATAGTTTTGAAACCACAGTCACTGTAGTTAAAAATAATGAACTGGATGTTACAAAATTGCTAAGAGAGTAAATTTCAAATGTTCTTACCACTACAATATGGATAAATATGTCAGGTGATGGATATGTTAGTTTAATGTAATCATTCCACATTTTATATATATGATCTCAAAACATCACATTGTGCCCCATAAATATCTAATAATCATAATTTGTCAATTAAACATAAAAATAAAATTCAAAAAAATTTAATAAAAGCTATTTTAAAAAGTCAGCTGATTTTGAATAAAGTAGATTATCCTCCATAATATCGGTGGGCCTCATCCAACAGTTGAAGGCCTTAACAGAACAAAGACTGACCTATCTCAAGCAAGAAGTGGACTGCCTTTGAACTCAGACTACAACTCTTCCCTGAGTCTCCAGCCTGCCAGCCTACCCTGAAGATTTTGGACGTGTACCTCCACAATTGTGTGAGCCCATTCCTTAAAAAAATAAAAAAATCTATCTCCATACATACACATATCAGATTGGTTCTATTTTTCTGCGGAAAACACTGGCTAATGGACTCATCTATATTTCTTTGTTTTTCCATGTTTCCTGGTTTCTTCTAGCTTTAAAATTCTACACGTATAATCTTGGAAGTAGATCTTTTCCCCAGTCAAGCCTTCAGATCATAACACAGCCTTAGCCACCACTTTGACTACAGTCTGGTGAGAAACATTGAGCTAAAGTGCACCCAGATTCTTGACCCACAAAACTTAAATGATAGATGTTATTGCTTAAAAAACAAACAAACAAACAAACAAACAAAACCCCTCAGTGAGTGGAACTTCAATTTCCTCCGGACAATCTGGTGTGATAGAGCTTAACTGGGAGGCTGGGACCTGGTCCTAACCCCTGGTCACCGTTAGCTAGTTTGTGCAGACCTCACATCTCAGGATGGCATCCCTACCTGTATATGAGAGGGTTGGGCAGGGGACCTCTAACTTCCCTTAAATGCTACAATTCAGTGTCCTTGTTAATCATACTGTTTATTCATCAAAATAAATATTGATAGAGGTCATAAGTAGAACACACCCTGGCTATTCAGGCCTCCGGATTTGGTGGCGACATTCCAGCTTCCTTTCTGCCTGTAACTGTGCGTAAGTAAGTCCTGCTCTATCTCCTTTTCTACCCCCACCCAACAGTTCTCGATCATAAACTAATCAGCATTAAGTAATTTTTATGACACTTCTGTGTGGCCCGGGCATGTGTCTGTGTGCGCGTGCGCGAGCTGTTTGGCTAGCGACATACACACAGCTTTGACACTGGAAGGTCTGTCGTTAGCGTTCTGTGGATTAACTCTGGCAGTACACAATGGGAAAGGAACATCTTTACAAGTGTGAGCCCTTCTTTCTTCTCTCAAGCAGGGCTCACACTTGGAAAGAGGAGGTGTGCCCAGATCTTTGCCAGGCAGCTACTTTGCAGGAGCACTGGAGAGCCCGCGGCGGACTTTCCCCTGGGAGTAGCTGGATTTGCCTTTGCAAATCGATCCCGCTCAATAAAATGATGTGTGAACATCTTCCCAGCCCCCCTGTTAATATTCCTTCATTTTTTTTTTTTTTTGAGCGAGCGCCCGAGCAGAGAGACAAAAAAGAGAGGAAAAGAGTCAGAAAAGTAAAAAGTTAAAGAGAAGTAAAGCAATTCCCCGGGAGCCTGGCGGAGGGGCCCCGCGCGGGGACTCGGGTGGGCTGGCAGCCGGGGCAGGGAGGAGATGCCCACAGGAGCGCCTGCATTCCGAGCTGCTCGTTTCTTTTGCCGAGGGTCTCCAGGGTTCAGCGCTCCTGGCGTTCCGGCGACCTCCGGGTCTGCCTCGTGCCCTCTCCGCCCGGGAGCCTGGCCCGGCTGGGCGCCAGTGTCCCAGCCCGAGCGGGCCCCCCGCCACTTTCTCCTCGCTGCCCGCACCGGGGGCTCCTGTCCCGCCCCGCGGGGCGACTTCTCCCTTTCAGCCCTCGGGTTGACGATCCTGGGTGGGGCAGCTGCGCCTGCGGGACGGCCTCCGCGGTGGAGCGCAGGGCCCGGGGCAGCCCGAGGGCCGGGCGGCCGCACCTGAGCCCCCAGCTGCGGCCCAGGCGCGGCGCCGGAAGCGCGGGCGGGTCGCGCAGGCCCCGGGAGAGCAGCCTGAGCCCGCGGGGGTGCAGGGGTGGGACCAGAGCCACCCTGGGGGGGGACCAAGTCCCGCCTCGCGCCAGCGGGGGCGAGGACCTGCGAGTGGCACCCCTCCACCCACAGCCCCGCCCGGCCCGACCCCGAGCACCCCAGCACCAGCTGACGGGCAGCGTGCTCAGCCTTTCGCCCGGACTCCTCTTAACTTCTCTGGAAGGAGCAACGTGCCGCCCGCCCCCTCGCCCACAGCAGCGGAACTTGAACCCAGCCGCGCCCGGGGTCCACCTTGCGCCGCCCTGAGCGCGGGCGGGAGTCCCTGATGATTTCTGCAGAAAGGGCGTGAAGCGGGGCGGGCGCGGTGCTCCGCCCGGGCGCCAGGGGTCCTCGTGGAGGAGCGCGCAGCAGCGGAGCCGGGAGAGTGGGAGCATGACCGAGCGGCCTCGGGGGACCTCAGCGCGGTAATGCCAACATGTAAGTCTCACCTTTGCTCTCAGAATTCCTTCACATCTCTCTCTGTACCCGCCTCCCCCACCCCAACTCAGTGGTTTTGTAAGAACCTCAAGCGCATTGACGGAATAAACCGGTTTGTCTTCAGTTTGCCCCTCGAGGCACAGAATGAATATTGCCAAACTGAGCTGTGACATGTGTGTGCGGCTTCTTTCTCTCTCTCTCCCTCCCTCTTTTTCCTCCAGCGAGGTAAACCTCACATTTGGGCGGTGTAAAGCATAATAAAAAGGGCAGGGCTTCAAGAATGGGGAAAACGTGTTTTCGATTCAAATTAAACAAGGAGTGACCGGCACCGCTCCTCCGTCCAGGGGCCTTAGCCCTGCCAAGAAAGCGCTCTCCGGATCGACACCTGGGGGCTTGGAAGGTACTGGTATGCCGAGAAAATGTTGACTTTACACATTGTCACCATTGACTATAGAAGTTGTTCTTGGATCTTTGGGATATTTGAATTTTTTTTTTTTAAGTGCGCAGAAAATGTTCTCAGTGTACTTTGTAGGTTAAAAAGTAATTAAGGTATATGCCATTTTACGTTCTAGAATCTGTGAGGGGACTTCTATAGCATTATATGTGTGTGTGTGTGTGGGTGGCGGTAGGGGTGCTGAACCGGTTAGAGAAACCTAAAAGCTTTTGCTTCTATGGAATTGTCTTCTCAATGGTGAGGTGCCTCAGAGGGACCCCTGGGAAGGGCCGCCAAGCCCCGCCTGGCCTTCCAGAATGGAAAAAAGGAAGACTGGACTCACAGGGGCCAAGCTTATTTTTGTGGCCAACTGAGAAGTTACTTTTTCTTGTAACATGTAATTTTCCTTCTGGTGTTTTATTTTATCTTGGGCAGACACCCTGACAGACATTTTACCCACTTCCACTGACTAATAATGTACAAGAGTTTCTAGAAACTGATAATCAGTTACTCTTCCTCGACTTCTGGATCCTTATTTCTCTTCACATGAATTTTCTTTCGGTTTAATACCTGGAAAAAGACCTGCCCCTTGGTTAGGCCCTGTCTCTCCCTATCCATCTTTCCCTTCCCCACTCCTCAACACACATTTTTAGAATAAGAGAAAGCTTAGTACATCCAAGCCTAGCACTCTGCAGCTATCTGTTCCTTGTAGTATGCAGTGCAGTGTAATTAGAAATGAACCACTTGTTTTTACTAAAACTGAATGGGAAATAATGAAAGAATTCCACACCTGCGAGTTTTAAAGGTTCATTTATGCCAGTGGAATCTGCAAAGTAAAACTTGAAAGAATTTATTTTGGAACACAGCCAACAATTTCATATAAGACTTGTTCTTATATATAGGCGACACATTTCTAATGAATATGAGTTTGTTTTCAACTTCAGTTTTTCTTGAAAATATTGTAGGGTTTTTAAACAGCAGATATTTGTCCAGTTTCCTTTCAGCTTTCCTAGGTATTTAGATCTTACAAGAAAAAAGCATATGGCACCTAAAAATATGAATATCAGTTTTATAAAAAGATATGAAACTGATCAAGAGGTAATGTAAAAATATCCTGATTATGGAATTAAGTTATAAAGTCCATTTGAATTCCTTGTGATTAAAAAATCATGTCATTATAGTGTAAAGCATGAATATTAAATCACATAGAAAATAGGGTTTTGTACCTTGATTTGAGATTTTTAAATTAAGCTATTTAACTGAAAGCTTTTTCATTTCTTAACTATTTTTGTAACTATTTTTTTTTTCCATTTTACCGTTTACAGTTCATATGGAATGGTTTAAGATGTTCTGATTCTTTTTAGATGTTGGTATGTTAGGATGTATGGAAAGAATACCAACATTTCCAAGATAAATATTCCTACTATCTTGTTGAAAAATGTTAGTGGGGAACATAAACTATATTATCTTTTAAATTTTAAAAGATTCAAATACACAAACTATTTAAGTGTGTTTTTTGCCTACTCCTTGTGGAGAAAGAGTATTTGTATATTGTTCTGAAATTATAGACTTTATAAATATATTTGAGAATTGTAGTGACTGCATATTTTTCATACTCTAAGAAGTTTAGTAGAGTTAGTAAGACTTGCATTCATTGGTCTCAAACTGCATGAAGCTACTGTTCCATTTATGGCTTATATAAATTACATGACATTGTGCTTTTCCAATGTGAATGGTGAATGAGGCTATTGTCTGTTGGCTTATGGGAAATATTAGAAGCCTGTAGTTTTACAGCCTAACTGGATATGTCACTCTGATTTCTGGAAATAATGATTTGAAAGAGAATCAGTTTATATATTAAAAAAAAACTAACAAACGCTTCCTTAAACCTGACCATTTTTCTAACTACCCGTATATCTTACAGAGTTTATAATTCTGATGGGATGATTAAAAGTTTCTACAGACTATTCAGAATTTAGACTAAATAGAAAAAGACTTTGTTCAATGTGTGTGGTATGTATGGGCAGAAACTATATCTTGTCATTTTCATTTCTAATTGGATGACGTTATTACATTATCTATGTTGGATGACATTGTGGTGCGTGCTGGTTGAGTGGGGCTATACTGTTTAAAGGATATATCAATAACAACTAAAAATGCCCGTACAGCTTCAGTGTGGCTGAATATCATCTTATTTTCCTTTATAAGCATTACTCAAAATGGAATTTTTTGGAATGCCTTAAAAAATGTCAAGATCCATTTATTTAAAGCATAGCAAGTATGAAAAGGGCTTAACATATTTAATATAGTATTGGTTAAAAAAAATCACAAATCAGTAAGAGAAAATGTTTACCTTATAATAGAAAATTATACAAATGACTTAAATATGTCAATCCAAATAATGGAAATCCAAAAGAGACTCTACTTCTTCTATCAAACTGGTAATGATTAAAGTAACGATACTCAATAGTGATAAGAGAGTCATGAACTAAAAACACTGATACGCTTTAGTGTAAATGTGTGTGCATTTAACTTTTTTAGAAATAATTTTAAATCTACTGGAAATTTGAGAGAATAAAAATAATAACAAAGAATGTCTGTATACCCTTTACCCAGAATCACCTATTGTAAATATTGACTCCGTTTGTCTTATTCTCTTTCCTCCCTCCCCACCACCCCAGCCGTACACACATACACACAAAGGTAATTTTTCTCTGAACCATCTGAGAACAATAATGAGGACTTTGGGATTTAATTTTTTAATTGAAATTTTAAAGATATTCATTGAAATACAGTTGAAAACAAATACAGAGAGATCTAGCACACCATTTGCCTGGTTCTCCCAATGTAATATTTTGCAAAACTATAGTACAATATCAAAATAAGGATATTGATATGATCTACCTCTCTTTTTCAGATTTTACGAGTTTTGCATGCACTCATTTTTGTATATGTGTATGTGTAATTCTCAAGGTTAACTTTTAATCTGACCTGTGGTACAAGCCAGTTAAGAGTGTTACTGATCAAATAAGGTTTAAGGTTTGTGCAGAGTTGAAGACTAAATCAGCCTTTTTAAAGTGAGGGTGAACCCAACTTCATGAAAGAATTTAAATTGAGTAATAGAGTAGCACTTTCTTTTTAGTATATTGCTTTGACTCAGGAACATGATCTTTACACAGAAAAATAAATGCCATTATGATCAGACTTGAATAAACCAAATTACCATTCTTTTTACGTGAAAGAATTATTCTTCTCTGCCACTCCCCAAATCCCTTTATGAAAAGATGTGCCATAGAAACAGAGTTGGGATATAGGGAAGGAAGTTAATTCTGTTGGTAGTATTGATAAAATTAGTGCTATATCAATGTCTCTACTAATTTCAAAATATCTTCACTAATTTCTCTAAATTGTGACTTTTGGGGAAACCACTAGGAATAGAGAGATGGAAAATGGCAGGTTTTTAAGATTATTTCAGTGACACATTTGGATAAAAACCACATCTATAAAGGATCACATTTAAAACAATTCCTATAAAAAGGTTACATTCTAAAGCTTCCTGAAACAGGACTCAAGCAAATTTTATTTTGTAGCTTATACAAATTGAAAAGAGGAACAAGTTTGCAAAGAGGCAGCTTGTTCCTCAGGAAGGACAGCTGGTTTGGAAAAAAGGTCTTTGGCTCTGCCACTGCTGATTATGTGATCTTGGGCAAGTAGTTTAGTGTCTTAGTTTTTTCACCTGGGAGATGATAGGTTTTCCTGCATAATTTTTAGATTCCTTCCAGATATAGAAGTCTGTGACTCTCTTTTACTTAGAAATGTGTCCCTGTTCTCATCAAGGGAACTTTGAGGCTGTAATCAAAATGGTACGAGACTGTACTGGTTTTTTTGGTAGTTCCTATTTAGAACCCTAGTAACCCTGTTTGGGATTTTCCATTCTTGTGAGAAAGTTGTTTAAATCTCAGGAATGTGTCTTTGCTAAGTGATCCCCTGAGAAGACACACAGTGCTTTCCTTCCTCTGTTCTATTCTTACTTTATTTGTTTCTGTTCTTCAGTAAACAGTAAAGTGGACGAAAGTTGGCATGTCATATGGTTCATGTTTGGTTATAAGTGCTTGTCTTGTCCTGGATTCCTTTTCCATCTGAAGTGATAGAGTCTTGAGACCTAGAATGTTTCAGGCCATGGTTGGTCAGCACCTAGCTTTGGTAAAACGACCTCAGAATTGAGAATGAAATCCCTAAATGTTGGAACCTTTTATAGCAAAGGAGAAGTTGCATGAGCACATTAAAATAAAACAGTATTGAGTGTAACCAAGTGGATGAGCATGGATCACTATTATGTAGAGATGATAAGAATTTAAGAGAGGATCATTATTCACATATTGATAAACGAGAGTTGTCATATGCCAAAAAGATTAAGAAGCTGGGAGTTCTGTTGGGCTGATACTTTGTTTCTGTTAATATCCGTAAAGCTGGCAGCCAGGTTTGATTGCTCTGCCCCTTTATTTTTCTGTACCTCAGTTTCCTCTTTTGTGAAATGAGGAAGTTAGATAAGACGACTTCTTGGAATGTAGAATTGTGTTTTTGTTTTAGAAGCATTCTCATTCATCCAGTATCAATAGGAAATAGGCCCATTCTTCTAAATAAGTAAATTTTCTATGTGGCAGTTTATTACCTACCATTTTAAAGGCCCCTACTAAGTGCCATGCACTGTTATCTCTAGTTCTTTTTGGTGGATAATACCCTATTTACAGAAGAGGAAGTAGGCTCAGAGTTTAAATACTTGCCCCACAAACCACACAGTTAATAGAAGATTCGGAATATAAATGAATGCCATTCTAGAGTCCATGTCCATTAACATAACTTACTTACTAACTGAAAGGTACTTCTCATTATCAGTAACTTCTTTTCATATCAAATATTTCAGATGGATATATTTGAAAGCATACCCTCCGTACAACAAATACTCCACGTCTTACCTTTTCCTTGTTTAAAATTTCTATCAGGAGAACTGCATGATACTAGAACTTCTAATTTGGTGAATACAAAAATGCGGTATGAGTTTCAGACACTACTTAAAATTTCTATATTCTTGGAAGACAGAAATAACCAATTTCGTTTCTGTTCCCAGGTGATCCCAAAAGTGGTTGTAAAGTCAGTTGATTAGTGTCAACATACGAGATTATTCCTATTATCCATTTTTGTTTGAGCCTTTTCCTTTGATTTCACTATGGACAGAATAACCATGCTTATATGAGAATGCCTAAGATGATAGTAACAATAATAATAGCTAATATTTATTGAGCACTTGCTGAGTGTTAGACGCTGTTCTTAAAAGACATAATCTTATTCATCTCAGCAACTTTATGGACTAGTTACATTGGTGTTCCTTATTTTATGGGTGAGAAATAGGAGGCACAAGGTGATCAGGAGGTATATTTTTCATAGTAACCCATGAGTAGCAAACAAGGTCTGTCTGACTCTAATGCTGTTCTCTTTGCTACAACTTGATCTCTTACAGTAAAAGAAAGATTCAAAATGCAGGCTTCAGGCCAGTGTAGGAATTACTTGATTTCTGATTTTGTTCATTCAAGTATTTTTCTCTCTCCCTGCTTTTCTGTTTAGTATTACACATTTTACCCAGGTAAGCAACCTTCAGGCTTTAAGGAAGGTATTACTGGGACCCTAAAGTATCTTATTAGTTGCCTTTTTTTTTTTTTTTTTTAGAAATGACTCTAAATCACCAGGTATAGACAAAGTCATTCTCTCTTTGGGGATTTTAAGATCTCCTGGAGATTTCTTTTTGTTATTTTTCTACCTTCCTGCCTCATGACTCTCCTGGTCACCAGTCCATTTATGGTTCCTTTTGGTGATTGCCTTTTATAATTACTTCTCCCTTTGTTGGCTGGCTTCTCTTGATGGTGCTGACTCAATGCAATGTATCTATCATACTGTTGTTTTGAGCCAATATAATATGGATGTGTCTTCTAAATCATTATTAAATATAAATTTCAGTTTAAAGGTGAGACAATTGTGCAGAAAGGATTATATGAAAGTTTTCGAAGTACCCCCCATCTAAACTAGTCATTTGCTAGTTTCTATATTTGGTGTTTGCTAGCCATTTAAAAACATTGATAGCTACTTTTATATATAAAGAATTTAATCTTTTTAGAATGTTAATGCTGCAATGCTTCATTTTAGGGGAAAGAAGAGAGCTTGTGCAATTTGGTTTTATTTTAAATATTTCCATTTGTAAAACAGTAGAGGTTAAGAAAAACATTTCCTTAAAGTCTAAATTTATGGGAGATTATAGGGAAGGTTGCTATAAACATCTTCCTGCTACCCAGATGGCCATGTGTCAGGTGAAACTCAAGCTGAAATTTCTTTATTTTTTAATAAATGATTTTTAAAAATTGTTTGAATATTTATCCATCTTCAAGCGTAAGTCACCTATAAAATTAAATGTATATTCTGATAAGGAAGGTGCCCCCAAGTGGCAAATACAATACGTGGATTTTTTTTCTTTTGCTAATTAGCTTGAAGGAGGTGATTAGATCATCATCTTTTAAGTTCCTTTATTTGGAAGCAAGGCTGAGAAAGGTTTCTATTTTCCAATCCATGCTGGAAACTTAAACTTTTCCATTATTTGCCATAATTTGCTTTACAGAATGTTGAGTGTCCTTATTGCTACTTTCTTTCATTGTAGGATGTTTCATTCAGGTCGAATGTGGAGCTGCCATTGGAAATGGAAGCCAAGTCCTCTTCTGTTCTTATTTACTTTATATATTACAAGTGTTCCTCACTCAGGTAAGGCTCTTCCTCTTTCAAACCCCAAATTTAATTACGATTCCATTGTCTGCAGTGTAAGTATGCTACTTACTTAAGTAACCTGACCTTTATTTGTTGCCATTTTTTATTGTTTCTGTCCCTATAGGGTTTCTTTTCCCTATCATCTTTCTATCCTCCTTGAATTCTGCAGTAGTGCTCTTACTTTGATCATTGTTTTATTTTCCAATGAATTTATTTCTTTAATCTTTGCTGTCGTCCTTTTAGTTCTATTTATTTATGTAGCTCATATTGAGTGATGAGATAACTGCATAAATGCTTTTAAAAAGCACTAGCTGTTTCCTACACTATTGAATAAATATACAGCACTTCTCCTTTCAAGTTTTCATATAGTTATTTATGGAAAGTACGAACTCTGCTATTTTCATTCATCCTGATTTTATTAGCATGTTGCAATATGAAATAGGAATTGGAAATCAAGTTTTTCAATTATATAGTTAATTTAGTTTACCTGATATAAAAAATTTAATTGTAATTACAGTATTTTTGGAATTAAAATACCATTTTTTCCTGAACTTTGAAATAAGACCTTTTTGGCTCTTGAAAACAAATTTTTCTAGAAACAGCTAATTATGTGAACAAGCCAATCAGAGGCTGGGGAATATAAATGATATTTAAAAGTAAACCATTTCTTCATTATCTGCTTTTGTCAGTGAACAAACTCTTTTAAGTCCATTCTGTTTTACTTTTTTTTTTCTCCTGGTGTGTATTTTCCTTTAGTATAAAACTAAAATGTCAAGAAAATCATTATTCTTGAAGTCTTAGTATTTATTACTTGGAATTTAACCAAGATTTATAAATTTCATATTTATAATGTAATATTATGAATAATACATTTAAAGAATCATGGAAATAGATTATCTGCTGAAATTGCTTGTTCATGGATCAAGAAATTCAACTTGTATTTAATATATAAACACTTTTTTCCAAGCCACCAAGTATTTTAAGGGTTTCGGCTACTTACTTGGAAAATCCCTGGCACTTGTTTATTGGCTTCAAAACAAACCTGATCTTCGAATGAATTTTTGTGTGTATTTGTTAGACTTTCATTATAAAATCATTCTTTCTATTACTAAATCAATGCCAGAAAGAAGAAACAAACTTTTAAAGAGATCAGAAAATTAGATGTACATTGGATTTTATGATGGACAGTGTTGAACTATTTCGTAACTTTCAAAAATGGTTTTCCCAGAACCAATTTTATGATGTAAGATAAATTATGAGATTAAAATTAGTTGAGGTCTATTTATTTTCATTTTTGTTAGGTCATGCATTTGTATATTTTTATACAAAAATTCTTCTTCAAAGCACCTCAAATTTGGACTTTTTATTTTAGATATCAACATTTTAATTAATATGTGCACATTCCTGAATTTTAATCATCTGAGTAAATGAAATGAAAGGCATATTTTAAGGCTAATTGAAGGGAATAAACTGGGTTGGGACAAGGCTGAGGTAAGAGGAGTACCTAGGGTACAAGATTTAAAGAGGCATTCATTCTCAGATTCATGGGAATCAAAGTATTATTACTAAATTTTTTAAGTTACCCTGCCACACACAATTTTCTTATTTATTTCTTTTTTTAAATTTCAAAGTATTACAGGGGCACAAATATTTTTGGTTATATAGATCACTTTTGTAATGCTTGAGTCATGGTTATAAGTATGCCCATCACCCTGATAGTGTTCATTGTACCTGTTAAGTAGGTTATTGCCTGTCCCCTCCTGCCCTCATCCCCCTGCTTGATTTCTGGTGAGTTTTACTTCCCTTTATGCACATGTGCGCTCATCAATTAGTTCTAATTTAATAGACAGTACCTGTCATGTTTGTTTCTTCATTGGATAAGTGGATAATGGTCTCTAGTTCCATCCAAATTGTTGCAAAAGGCATTAAGTCATTCTTCTTCCTGGCTGAAGAATACAATATATATTCTATGGTATACATATCCACACATTTTGTCAGTCCACTCATGAATTGATGGGCACTTGGGTCAATTCTGCATCTTTGCAATTGTGAATTGTGCTGTAATAAACATTTGAGTGCAGGGTTTTTTTGATAAAATGACTTCTTTTCCTTGGGTAAATACCCTGTAGTGGGATTCCCAGATCAAATGGTAGGTCTACTTTTAGTTCTTTGGGTATCTCCATACTGTTTTTTCCATGGAGGTTGTACTGTTAATAATTTCTGTTCCCACCAACAATGTAGAAGCTTTCCTTTCTGTCTGCACCCACACCAGCATCTGTTATTCTTGGACTTTTTAATAAAAGCCATTCTAACAGGGGTAAGGTGATATCTCATTGTGATTTTAATTTGCATTTCCCTGATGATTAGTCCTGTTGAGTATTTTTTGACATATTTATTGGCCATTTGTCTGTCATCTTTTGAAAAGCTTCTGTTCATGTCTTTTGCCCACGGTTTGATGGGGTCATTTGATTTTTTTTCCTATGATTTGCTTGAGCTCTTTGTAGACTCTGGTTATTATCCCTTTATTAGATGTATAGCTTGTGAATATTTTCTCCCATTCTATAGGATGTCTGTTTGCTCTGTTGATTATTTCCTTGGCTGTGCAAAAATTTTTTAATTTAATCAAGTCCCATTCATTTATTTTTGTTGCTGAGATTGCGATTGGGTTTGTCTTCATAAATTCTTTGCCTAGGCTGATAATTAGAAAAGTTTTTCTTCTAGTATTCTTATGGTTTCATGCTTTACATTTAAGTCTTTTATCCATCTTGAATTAATTTTTGTAAGTGGTGAGAGATATGGAGCACATTTTATTCTTCTACATGTGGCTATTCAATTTTCCCAGCACCATTTATTGAATAGGATCCTTTCCCCCAGTGTATATTATTGTCTGCTTTGTCAAATATCAGAAGGAACATATCTCAAATTATAAAAGCCGTATATGACAAATCCACCACCGACATTATGCTGAATGGGGAAAAAGGGAAAACACTAAGAACTGGAAAAAGACAAGGATGCCCATTGTCACCACTTCTATTCAACATAGTGCTAGAAGTACTAGCCAGAGCAATAAGACAAGAGAAAGAAATTCAGAGTATCTAAATTGGGAAAGAGGAGGTCACACTATTGCTTTTTGTTGCTGATGTGATCTTATATCTAGAAAACCCAAAGATTCCACCAATAGACTCCTGGAATTGATAAATTCAGCAATGTCTCTGGGTACAAAATCAGTGCACATAAATCAGTAGCATTCTGATACACCAGGAATAGTCAAGCCAAGAGTAAATCAGAGACTGAATACCATTTAATAGCTACAAAGAAAATAAAATACCTAGGAATATATTTAACCAAGGAGGTGAAAGATTTCTTTAAAGAGAACTATGAAACAGTGAAGAAAGAAATCACAGATGATACAAATAAATGGAAAAACATATCTTGCTCATGGATGGGTAGAATGAAGGTTTGTAATAGGCAGTATTACAAAAGTGGGATGAATTGTGTAAATATGATTGTGTAAGATTCTGTAAACATATTAATAGAACATGGAATAATTCACACCAGAATTCTAAAATGGGTTATCTTTGAGGTACGGTTTGGAGAAAGAGGGGGGACAGCAGTGGAACTATGTACTTCTGAATTTTTTGCCTTGTTACAATGAGTGTGTATTACTTTAGTAATCTGAAAAAAAAAACAAAAAACCTGATGAACTTCATAAGATTTTTTTCTTTTTTTCGTATTTAAAAAGTGACCAGAGAAGTTGTTGAAGTATATGAATATTTAAATTTTCTAATAGTCACTTAATTGTTACTCTGGCTCTTTCTTCTCTTGATAAGAATCTCTAAAAGGTGTTTTGAATAATAGCATCTTTTTATGTGGCCCAACACTCCATGACTCTGAAGATGACACTCCATGACTCTGAAGATGAATGATATCTCAAGCAGACAGAGGGTTATGGCTTCGAGTAGAGTGGGAAACAAACAGCCAAGAGCCAATAAATTCCTAAGCAACCAGAAGCCTGTTTCCACACATAGTCTTAGTCACAAGCATTGAGGGAGGAGCCTCCCTTTTCTCCTGAAAAATCAATGATATCAGCAGATTGTTTCAAAGTGGAGTGTTATTCTGATATCTAGGAGACATCATCAGCTAAAAGAGGAAGTGTTTCTGAAAGTACAATCCGGCCTGAATTGTGTACTTTCTAACCTACAGCACATCATAATTCTGTAAGGCAGGTGATTGGGCAGAAAGAATCTTGTACTTTTTTGTATTTTTCCCATGATCATAGAATGAGCAATTATTAGCTAGCATCAATTATATTGCAACCTGTATTTAAGTGTTAAATAGGCATATTTAACATATCATTATATTTGATCAAAAGGCTTTTAAGTGTCTGTAAAAATAATCCTTTCATAAATCTGCAAAAATTTTTTTTAGACGTTTTAGTATTAGTGTGTGCTTAAAATTACTAAATGTATCTTACATTTAAACAGGCTCTAATTGTGCAAACTATTTGCATATAATAATAAATGTGCGTGTGTTCCAGTTAAGGTCAAAGTGTTACAAATTATTGTCTGAAGCTTTCAGCTAAAAGGTTGTGTTCCCATTCCAGACCAGAGATTAAAAAGAGGCAGTGTGATTCAGTAAATAAACCTAGAAAGTTTTATGTAGATGTTTCTCTGAGGAATTTTTCCTGGTAATTTCCTCATGTACCTTTGGATGATCTGAATTCAATGTAGTTAACTACATGACTGTAGAATGGGAATGACTTACCTTGACACCACAGTGACAATCTCAAATGACTAACAAATAGGGCCACTAATAAAACAGACACCACTTAGATGATACTAGGAAGGGGGGAATGTCAACATAGAGTCTGCTTTTCACTGGTCAGATCACACTTGTCTCCACGAATGGTTGTCGTAATTTAGAATCAATGGACAGAGAATATCTAGACCAGGGCGGTAACGTGTCTCAAGCAGTCTGAGGGCTGTTTCAGAGCAGTC